ATTGAGAATAGATCATTTTAAAGTCTCCACCATTCATCTTAATGTAGGAATTAAATCCTGTTATGGGGTGGGGGTGGGGGGTGGGTTCTAAGGTTAAAACATTTGCCTTTTATCTCCCAGTAGAAAGCATTATCCTACATTTAAATCCATTAAGTAGGTTTAGGTTTTACTCTTTTCAAACAAACTTCTTTTAAATGTGCCAAAACTTATTATTTCACTCTATCAGGAAAGGTTGCCACTTTGAGTCAAATCCTCAGGATTTTATTATCCATTTTTTGAAAATCTATAATTTTAGCTAATGAACTGATAGTTTTTTATTTAGAAAAATCGAATTCAGATCTAAATTAAACATAACTTCAGATTTTATTCTTTTGTATTATATTATTTATTGTTTTTCCTCCATAAGTTGCTATTTTGTTTACATTTTCATAAGTCAGAGCAACCATCACCTTTTCTCTGTCTATAGTCAGAACCTCAGACATTCATGGCACAGGGACAAAGCAACATACCACTAAATCCTGCAGAGATGAAGCTAATCTCTCCGAGTGGCTGCTGTGGAAATAGAGAACCCAGGATTCAGACAGACATACAGTATATCTCAAAAAAATATGCAGTGAATAGTGAAAGTAGTAGTAAAATGGCTCATTTCACAACTACTGTGTCAGACCATGTTTGGACCCTTATCTCTCTCTGGATTTGCCAAAGTTTTCATCTCCAGGTCCGTCCATAACATTATGTATGGAGTCAGAAAGGGGTCAAAATGTTTGTAAACGTATAAACTGTCAGGATTTTACAAAGTTCAGACCCAAATGCAGAAAACCGAACAGAGAGACCAGGGGAAAGGTGTAACGGGTTTTATTAAAGAGGTAAAACAGAGGGAGAAGTGTTGCTCTGAACACTGCTCAACCGGAACTGTAAAGTGAGGGAAAGACACAGCGGTTAGTTCAGGCTCAGTGGGGAATTTGACTCGTGAACTTGGAGAAGAGGATTTGGTTGCTGACTCACGTTTCCAGAGAAGTTGTTGAATCGTTGACTCCAGTCTGTGTGCCGTGGTTCCAGTGTTTGTCTGATTCAGTGGAAGGCGGAACAGGGTTTACCCAGAATGCGGTTGTTAGTAGGTGAACGGAGAAACTGACTGTCACTCAGATTTCCTGCGGTACTTGAACGGGTCGTAGTGGAGATTAATCCCTTTCTCAGTGCGAAGCTCAAACGATCTCTTGGTGAAAGTGGATCCAAACCTCCTGTTTGAATCCCAGCTGAGTTTGTAGCTCAGGTGATCCTTCCAGGGAGAGAAGGTCCGAAAAATCCAGTTTGCAGGATGACTTCCTGCCGACAGGCAAAGACAAAAACATAGTTAAACTCAGGTTGACAAAAACTCAGTTTGACTCAGCAAAACTCAGCTTGGCTAGAGTTGGTGTGTGAGGAGGCGGACCAGAACCAGGCGCCTCCTGGTGGATGAAGGGAGACAAACACAGAAACACAAACACAAAAACAGGAGTCCTGACATAAGTCTTAGTTAAAAACTGAAAGAATAAAAGTTGAAATAGAAAAATATAAGTTGGGATTGAATGTCTAATTTTTTATTTATAATCTGAGAAACTAAAAAAGCAAGAAAAATAAAAAGAAACTGGATCATCTTTTTATTCTGGTTCTCAGGCGGTATTGGATCATGGAAATAACACACCTGATCAGATGTGGCTGTCTAGGGCTCGCCTTTAGAGAAAAGATGTTCTGAAGATCCAGCAGGTTTGGGTTGTGGTCAGTCTGTCTTCGATCTTGATGGCTCCTGGTTGTCTCGTCCGCAGGTGTAAATGTAACCTGCACGCCTCTCAGTGCGTGATGCGGGATGCAACGCTGCAGTGTGACTGCGAGCACAACACAGGTGGACAGGACTGCCAGCGCTGTAAAGGAGGCTTCAGATCCCGCAGCTGGAAACCAGGATCATACCTGCCCCTGCCCAGAGGCACTGCTAACACCTGTATGACCCCCCCCCACACACACACACACACAGACCCTTAGATACACAAAGTCGACCAGAAATCCATGGATACCTTTGTGTCTTTTACAGGTGAGGCGCCTGTGAGCCGAGTCAGTAAGTAACATCCTGTTTCCTCACCTGTCTGCTTCACTGTCAGTGTTGCATTATTTGTCCACCTCCTGTTTTCAGCCATCCTGAGGACATCCATCTGTTCTTGTTGATGTTTAGTCAGAGCAGCTAAACTTGTTTGACTTTGGCTTAAAGCTTAATGAGGCTTCATCCAACCATCACATGTCTGACTTCAATGCAGAAGGAGAACAGAGCCCTGATGGCTGCCAGTAGATGGCGCCGTTTGCTCTGCTGAACACAGGACCTTAAAGAACCAGAAAAACTGCACACACTTTTCAAAAATCCCCTTCTTGCTTCTCTGATGACTTCACAACATCTCAGTGTTCATAAAAACTTTTTTTTTCACACATGAAGGTGGTGATTGCAGTGATTTAAGACCTCTGGAAGATGTAACAGTGACAGAAGTCAGATGATAGATGACACAGATCACCCAGTGATAGGTGGAGGTTTTAGAAAACAGGTAACAACAGCTGGAAGCTCAACCCTCTGGATAAACAACGAGTCTGGATTTATCCAGCAGAGTTCAGCTTCTGTTCCAAAAACATTAGAGGTCAGAACAGATCTCTGCAAAACAGACTGGAACTTTATCCACATCTTCTATGAAAGCGATCTACTGCAGCTGCTGCTGAGCCTCAACCGAACCCCAGTTCAAGTGAATAACACGGAGAGGAAACATTTTCACATGATTAAAATCCAAACCGTGAGCCACTTGGTTCCTCTGGGATCACAGGCAGCTGCACCTTGGTGCTTCCAGCTGGAATATAGATGTTTCAGGTGGAACATGGAGCTCCTTTCCAAAATCCAGCCATTGTGGAATGTTCATCCTGCTGGGGTTGCTTCAGAGTCGGGTTCCTAGCTGTCCCTTTAAGTCAGAACAGACCCATAATTAAAAAATAACAGGCAGCATAATTTCAGCCTCAAATGTTTTAACATTCTTTAAAAACCAGAACGAAGTGCAAACATGTCCTGATCTTGGCGCTGATGACTTGTGTTATTGTTAATTTCATTCACCCGCTTGGCTCCGCCCAGTTTCTCATCACCATTCATCTGTGTCACCTGCTCCAGCCTCTATTTAACCTGCCTGCTCCCAGTCATCAGTGCCAGATTATTCGAGCCCTTGGTGAGAGTCTCTGAGCCTGCCTGTTCCCGTTATGATCGGTTTGTCTGACCTATCTTTGGACTTCTGTTGAATTCTACCTTTTTAAAAACCTGGAACTGCTTCCTGACTCCGACCTGGATTTCCCATGGGGACCTCTTCGGATCTCTGATGTTCTGGCCTAGACTCCTTAGCACCTTCTTGACACCGGCTTTAGCTTCGTCCTCTGGATTGTCCTGCCTTCTTCCGTCTGCTTGGATCTGATCTCCTGCCTGTTCTTTAGTCTCTAAGGCTTCAGCTTCTGGGACTCTCTGGGCAGCGTTTGCTGCGTCTTGTCGGCAGCCGACCGCTGGAGTCCACCTCATCCTCTGGGCTCGTACTAAACTTTAAGACCAGAGGTTCCTGCCTTAGACACTGTCACTATTCACTGCATATTTTTTGAGATATCATACTTTATGAATCCTGGGTCCTCTGTTCTGAGCCCTGAAATAAAATTGATGAAGGTGACAGATGATGCTTGGCCAGGAGGTTCCTTATTTACAGGCAAGTCTACGTCAGAGTAGAGACTGCAGACATTTACTGGTAGTTTTGGCTCCTTGATCTTTCTGTGTCGTAAGGGTTAGGTTAGGTTTTTGGGTTAGGTTTTGAATTAAAGTATTGACTGAAGGACTGGAGTGGACATGTCCCCACCATCTTTGGCATGGAGGGGACAGTCCCCACCAATAATTTCAGCTTTTTCCCCCTTTCTGCTGATTTACTTCAGCCAACAGTAACTGGGGTTTGGTGCAGCTAACTGTGTTCAGAGCCTTTTCAGTCTGTGTTTTTTCCTCGCTCTCCCGCTGCTCTCCAGTCCCAGTTCTCTGTGAAATATCATGGAATCTGTTGCTTTGGGACATAATATTGGTTGGGGTTGTTATTCATTCATAAATAATGCACTAAAGGCAGACATCTGTCTATAATTACAAATATAACTGTACTGTGGTTCTCTTGTGTTCTCAACAATAAGAAAGCATTCAATAAATAGATGTTTGAGCTCATTTTTGTAAAATATAAACCCTATTGAAAGCGTTCGGGTTGAGTAGCTGTAGGTCCACTAGCCTCCAACCTTAGGGCGCCCCCAACAACTTTTATTGCAAAGTTACAACTTTGCTCATAGTTGAATCTCACTTATTTACCTAAGTATCTAAAATTTACTGTCCAACATCTCCTTAAGTTAATGTTTTGAAGTACTCACTTTGGAAAATGCTTTTAAAAGCACTCAAGAATTCAAGATACATAATAAATGTTCTAGTATCAGAACATTTCTGTATATATTTCAGAGTAATTTTGAAGAACCTGTAACTTTCAGAAACCACCTGATGTATTGATGCGTAGAACCACGTGTTATAGATTCTACACCACCTAGAGAGAACTGCAGCATAAAAATGCCACAAAAAATGACAGCTATTCAGATTATTTCTTATTTAATAAAAAGCTGAGAATAAAGCAAAGTCTTAACTCACTCACTATGGAATAGAGGTTTAAGGATGAATCTATTAGAAACTATAACTCTAACTTGGCCTCATGTCAACAACTAATAATATCTGCTCTGAGATTCTCTCATCTGTGGAAAGTTAGAAGTAACCCTTGATGGAAATGAACACTGATGAAACTTAAACACATTAAAAGGCTGAGGTTAAACCACGCCTTTGATGTTTTTTGTGTACAAAACCAGTCCTAGTTGTGAGCCCTTATGGTTCATGGTGGGATATGTTCACATAGAAGCCCAGCCCTTAGCTGTAAATCCCTTAATTGTTGTGTTTCCGATGCGTTTCTGATCCAAAGGTCCATTCTGGTGCTAAATTAAGCTATGGAGAGCAGCATTGAGCCTTAGCATGGCCGACCCATTCCCTCTAAATATAGACTTAATGGAAAGCTACCAGTTCAATGTTCTGCAGATTTGTAGAATTTGTGGAGAACAAAGTCACTAAAGAGTCGTAACTCTTCTTCTCTGACAGCGGCTGGTGACTCAGCAGTATCTGATGGACCATCTGCTGCATCAGATGGAATGAGTGACACTCCTACTAATACAACTACTACTATTACTACTTTGTCTGCTTACACTGAGAGTTCTACCCGTTCCACTGTCACTGACAGCAGGACCAAGACTGATATAAACACTGCTGTTTGGACATCACCCATACTAACTGACGACATTTTTACTGATGGCCCGACGCAAAGTATCACCTCTGGTCCCTCTGCCACTACAGATGGTATTATTCCTATGTTCTATTATTCACTGACTACTGATACAACCATGGGAGGTGTTCTTACCTCAGCAGATGCAGCCACTAAGCCACAGAGTATCACTTCTACAGGTACAACTACTGTCACTTATAGTGCTGCTGATATCACTTTACTTGGTAGTACTAGCAGTATACCCATGTCTGACATGAGCAGTACTGCATACTACACCAGTACTACAAATTCAGCTGATACTACATTGAACACTCGTACTGTAGCTTCTGCTGCTGTAAGCAGTGGTTCTAGTTCTGGTTGGGAATCATTTGATTCAAGTAGTGTAACAGGATCTTTAGCAGACATTTCATTAATCAGTACACCACCGGGGGAAATCTCCAACACTCCCAGTCTAACCAGTAAGAACTCAACAATCTCAACCAGGAGCAGACAGTCTGGGTTTGACCCCACTTCAGACTTCTCTGGGCCTGGTAAGGCTTACTTGGTGACCAGTGTCATCCCACCTTCTGTTGGTGCAGTGTCATCAACCAGGGCCCAGAATCCAGCAACCATTCAAGAAACCACTCCACCCAGTGAAAAGGTTGCTCCTGGAAATACTCTGTCAACTGGGTCTATTCCAACTACTTGGGAAGGAGATGCCCCGCCTTCAGAAGCAGCAGACACATCAGATATACCTGATAGAGAAAAAAACCCTAGTCTCCTTCCTCGTGTTGTACCTCCTGAGAAAAGTTCTCTTTATACACCTGCAGCAATATTCCCACCTTCAGATATTCCACCAGCTACCCTTTCATCAGAAACTGTTGCATCCTCCTCTGGAGTACTCCCCGGAGTAGAACCTTCGCCTTCTTTAGAAAAAGTGTCAACCTCTCAAGCCTCTGAGAGTTCAGTAGTTGTATTTTCCTATTTAGCTCCAACTATACGTGTTTCTGATGTACCATCTCCTAATACAGCTTCTGCAGATATACCACCTCCAAATGACCCCAAGGTGACCCCTGTCCAAGCATTTCCTCTAGTTCCTACACAATTACCTCCCCAAAAAGTAGATCCCTCTAGAACTCCTGACCCTTTAATGGATGCAGCTCCCCTCCCCCCAGCTGCACCTGATGCCCCGGCTCCTGATACTAATGTAGAGTCACTACCTTCCTCTGGGAGAGATTTGGAATTAAAACCAACTTTGGAAACTGCGGATCAGTCTAAACCAACTACCAATATAGATTCTGGCGAATCAAGACAAACTCCAGCTTCTAGTTCTGGACAAGTGTCTGATGGTGACCCGTCAGCCAAGCCAGGAGGACCGGCTTCTCAGAGGGAGCGATTTGGAGAACCACTGCCTGAGAAAAAGGATTCTATGGAAGAAAGGAAAGATGGAACCGTGAAGAAAGGTATAAAACACTGAGCGTGGCTGATTGCAATATATAACGGTTTTATATTATGGCTAGAACTGATCAGAAATATGATGCGTATCAAAAGATTTTACCAGTCAAATAAAGTTTTCCTCATAAAGAGCTAAAGTATCTGTCAGCTCATGACTTTACCTGTTGAAGTATGTGGTTATTATGGCTTTGCAAAGAACGACAGGGATATTAGCCTGTTTTATCCAAGTTTATTATTATATATTATATGATTCCAAGTCTCTTATTTTGTAGTCAGAAATAAAGTACTTCCTGATTGGACATTTAAAGTCTTTAAAAGAAAAATGATCAAAGAAAACATTCTGAGCCATAGCATAGCGGATAAACCTTTAGCTGCTAATGACGCTAGCTCTGATCAGGGAC